ATATTTGTCATCTATTTCACATACAGTAAACAATACAAAAATATATTTTCACACCATAACAACATTCAAACATATAACCATACAACTCATTTACATGTTCCCTGTACAATGACCAAAGTTAAGCAATGCCAAGCCTTGTCAGTACCTTGACGGGTGACCATTTGGGAATATCAGGTCCTGTAAGCTTGGATACATGGGTGGATAATAGCTTGAATTTTTTTAAGCAGAGAGATGTCTTCTAATTTCAGCTGGGTTCATTATGTTCACTTATGTACAAATACCCTTGAGAAAGGTATGAATCCACTTTTTCTCTCCCCAATTATCAGCTAATTAGTAAGACTTGTATAACTAAATCATTATTATACTAAAAAAAACATTTTTTTAAATCTAAAAATATTTTCTGGCTTTAAATAACCCAAAGAGGTGATAAGTCATAGAAAACAAATCAATCAATCAATACATTTCAATAGAAAAACAATTTACAATGTACTTTCATTATATATGTGTATGTGTGTATATAAAAAATCAGATAAAAAAATCATATCTGTAAAGAAAATATGATTAAAGACAAAAGGAAAATTTTTCTTTACCAACATGTTTCATTCTTTGAAGGATTTAATCAATGTAAAGATTTTAATTTGCAACTTGTATTGATTAACAGAAGTAAAGTGGAGGAACAGCATCATTAAGTTTTCAAATTTTAAATTTAAGAACACTCCAAAATATTCTTAAAGCTGACTGTTTAAGGAAAGGTAAATTATGGAGAATGCTAAGTGATATAATTTATTGCCTAATAAATGAAAGTGAGTAAATGTTCTTGTGAAATTTTTATTTATATATGTTATGAATAATCAAGATTTGTCTCCCCTTGTTTTGTTACTCTCATCTTTGAGAGAGCTATTTCTATTTACTGGGACTATAAAAGGACACTATATGCAAACCAACACCTGCATACTTTTGTCATTACAATATATTTATTTATTTTAAATATAATTATTATTTATTATTTTATTTTGATATACGTATTTATTTTATAAGTATTTATTTATTTTAGATATTTAAAAGATCTTAAATAAATTGTTTCCTATTAATTTTTTAAAAATTTTTTATGGTCATGTATTTTGATTGGGGAAAGATTACTACTACCCCTATACAACACTGCTTAAAATTACTTAGAATTAATAAGAAAAAACAATAAACACCTTGAAAATGAGTAAGGGAATAGCTGAAAGTGCTTGGAACAATAATCACTATGGATTGTTTTTACACTCTCTTAGTCCTTATAAAAGACAAACTGTAAGAACACTAGAAAAACAGAATAAAAAATTTATTTTCTTTGTCCATCATATTCAATAAAACATGCAAAAAAGAAATATTGCTGCCTATATATATATATATATATATATATATATATGTAACTCCAAAGATTTTCTAAAAAATTAGCATGCAAGATGAAAAAATGTCCCAAACTTAATAAAAACAAAGTTTTATTATCAAAATCTTAAGAGGAAAAGACCAAAGGGGTTTTTTGATTATTAAATTACTATATTTTATTTTTTCATCCTTTTAAGAACAGTCAGTGGTGAGGTGTCATCTGGGGGGGGGGGTTACATTGTACCAGTGGGTGGCTTCTTCAATACTACACTTTATCCTGGTTGCAATCGTCTTGACACTTCTGTGACATCACTCCATTATTCCATTTCCTACCAGGACATGTGTGCATTGGAATCACAAATGCACATCCCATCCATGAGCAAAGGCCCAGAATGCCCTACTGCGGAACATGGTATCATTGTCTGTGAGTATCTCAGGTGATGGTCCCCTCTCACAGAACTCAGCCTCCAGCTGACATATGATACTCAATGAGTCTTGGCAGTGTAATGGCCACCACGCAGAAAAAAGTGACAGGCCACAATCTGTTAATGTCAGGTAATGACTGTCGCGGTAGTGAGTGATATCCATTCAAAGAGAGTGAGAAGTACTGTTCACTCCCAGTCAGCCCTTTTCTCAATGGACTGGCACAGGATCTATTGTTGTGCACTCCACACAAGTCCCAATGGCTGACTTTAACATGGCCTTTATCATGGAAGGACAAAATCTCCTCACAAAATATATGATACATTATACTCCTGGATGCCCACTGTGTTAATGTACTTCCATTATCTAACTGGGACTCATGGTATCAAGGGAAGCAGCACACACCTGCACAGGTTCAGCTCCCTTTTTGGCCATATCAAGCCACCTTTGGGGTACATGGGTTATTTTGTCTGCCAAGTTCTGGTTTGACGCGACCAGCATCACGCTGACAAACAACTTATATTCTTAAACCAGTTACTTCATTGTGCGCAAACTTTTTTGCACCAGCATCTCACTTGCTGCTTTGGTACATACCCTAGCTTTGCCCATGAGGGTGTCAGATAACCAGTGGCACACACATAAAGAATCAGTTTTTATATGCCAATTCTTTACCTGCCAATGGAGGGCTAAATTATTGTTATAGGGAGCTTGCATCAATCTATATGTTGATTTCAGATCTATTTACACACCAGTCAACCCAGGCAGGATCTCCCTGTCACACTCTGTCTATGGTTTCCTTTACCATCTGCTTGAGGGAAATGTTGTCAACTTGGTCATCCGATCCATTTATGACTACGTTTGCCTGCCACTTGATGAACCAACTCACCACACACAACCATCCACACATGGGGAAATGTTCCAAATGCTTCCTACATCGTGAGAAGACATTCCGTAGTCATAACATCAGGGACATTTTGGGATCATGCTTTCTTGTGTCCACTGCAGTGTGTTACGCTCCCCACAGACTTCCAGTCCAAGCAGGTGAGCCCCATCATTCAAATGTTCTGAGTTTTTGCACATCAACCCATACTGGGCCAATTTTGTCTTGACATGTTCTGCAGACATGATGCTCTCAATGACATACACATCGTCTTCATATGCCAATATCACTCTCCCAACTGACTCCTCCTGTGACCACACAGGGTCAATAATGGACTTCATGACTAGACGTCCCACACTGAGGCTGAACCCCAACTATGTTAGATAAAACCACTTCTCCTTGATCATCATGATTTGATATGGCCACAGTGACTCATGTATGTGTACTTAAAGATATGCTTTTCACAAGTCAAGTATGGCAACATTTGCCCCTTGTTGGCATCACTCTTGCAATCTGGCTGAACAAATGTCTGCATTTGCAATGAGCACATCTACATGGTTGTTGAGCTTGCAAAAGTCCATCACTGGACACACCTTTCCTTTCTTGTGCTGCACGACAACTATTAATGACACAAAACCTTTGAGTGGCTCCAATTTCTTTTTGGGGTATGTTATCCATGTTTGGAGTTCTTGTTCATAGGCATCCCTAACATCCTTTGAAACAAGGTACTCCATCACCTTCTTGTGTAAGTGAACCAGTGCCATATCTGCTGTCCACTTCCATTTTGCAGTACCAGATCCTTTGCTGGTGGTTGAATTCCACAGAAAAATGAGGTTGGTCAACATGTATCTGATCCACAACTGGCATCGCTCTACAATAACGATTGACCAAGAGCAACCAGAGTCGATGAGAGCTGAATACCATTCCCCGTTGATTAATATGTTGACTACAGGCAGCACTACATTTATATCTGGGAAAGGAATGAGACTAGCACTGATGTCTGTTCCTCTGATCCACTTCCCAAGTATTTCTGTGACATATGGCCAAGCTTGTCATAGCAATGACACCATATGATGCTGTCTCCTCACCAGCTCCCGCTTTACCTAGTTCATTCACTCAAACAATATCTAGGCAAGTGATAAGCACCACCACATCTGTCACAGATGTTATCACTCTGCATATCATTGGCAGAAGTCAAGTCTGTACCTAGTTGTTCAGGATTTGTGCCTGCCACAATCATTCTGCTGCTGGTGTACCATCCTTCAGTTTGGCTCTAGCTGGTTGACATCCAGTTCATCTATTCAAGAAGAAGTGTGAAGCAGCTTCCTGACATGCTCAGGCAACCCTGCTACAAATGCAAATGCAAGTCCACAGTCAGACACCCCTCCATACAAGGTTGACAGTCTGTGGAGATCTATCCAGTAGAAATCCACAGATTCATTTGCATTGAAACACCTAGCTACAAACAGGTTACATGCTACTAATGGATCTGTACAACGTACAGGACATCCCTGATACAGCCTACATCTTTTCTTTCTTCCTTGCTAAGTTGTTGCAAACACAACTCCCATCAATCAAAGTGGCAGAATGTAATGTTCTTCATGCTATACAGATCACAGACCACAGTCTTTTCGAACCATTCAACAATAGTGAAACCACAGTCTGAAACATTCAGGGATTAGCTTAAGGTCGAATTTACCATCAGTCTTCTTAGTGGGGGTTACTCCTGAGTAACTAAGTTTCTCCAGGCAAGCCACACATTTTTCTCATAGATTTTGTTTTCAAATTGCAATCGGTGAGATTAATGCAAAACTTTGCACACCAAAGCACAACAACATGACTCTCGGCATCTCCTCATCATTCTTCACTAGTCTTGCAGCTAACAGGAAAAAAACTGATGTTGACAAACATGTTGACACATGATCCAAGTCCTCTCTTATATAAGTAATTTTATGATATTGTCACATCACATGTGGTATTTGGCAACTATGGCCATTGTTCTATAGTAGGCTGTCTCAGTTGTGTTAATGCATAGTTGTCTTCAGACTAATACACTAAAGTCATACTGTCTCTGTTTTTTACTGAAAGTTAAATCAACCGTGTTTTTACCAGGAGAAAGGTTTTATAAATATTAATAAATAGCACAACGCATATTGTCTGTATTGGTTACTTTTATTGTCTCCAGCAGGGAAATTTTGATGAGTATTTGTCAGTGACAGAGTGGATGTAGTGATTGAGAGAAACTCACTGGAAAATTTGGGAGGTAGAAACTATTTTTTTTACCAGGAAACTTTAGGTCTTTCTAGTTGCTGATTTGCTTACATCCACATCATGATGAAATACTGTTTCCTGTATGATTACCAAAGTTAAGCAACATTGAGCCTGATCAGTACCTAGATGGGTGAATACCTGGGAATACCAGGCACTGTAAGTTTGGATGTGCAGCTGGTGTAATGGATAATGGCTCGAAATTATTAATTGGAGAGTCAAGTTCCAATTTTAGTTGTATTCATTATATCCACTTACACACAAATAACCTTGGAAAGGTATGAATTCACCTCTTCTCCCTCTAACTATGGGTTAATTAGTATGATTTATATCACTAAATAATTATCTCAAAAAAAAAATTTTTACAATCTAAAAATACTTTCTGGCTTTAAATAACCTGCAAAGGGTTGATAAGCCATAGAAAATGTATGAATCAATCAAGAATCTGGTGCACATAAGTTTAAAATTAGAAGGATATATTAAAAAGGAACTTGATAAACACAAACCCTTTAAACTACCTGACAAAAGTTTTAAAAATCATGTTTGTAATTATGCAAATGTTAGATAAATGAAATAGTTGCTGATTTGTCAATTAACAGGCCAATGGAAAGCACCGCCACATTCTGCTTCTTTTTCCCTTTTTTTAGCAAGACTTGTAACCATCAATTGACCCTATAAAATATATTGTATTTCAGAAATACAATATATTGTGGCTGTTTTTAGTTACAAGATTACTTTTTTCTTAATTCTTAACCTTAAATTATTCTCTTCTATTTTACACAATGTTAGAAATTGTTCTGCATTTCAATAGTAAAAGAAACATTTTGTTATCAGAATACAAGGTCAAGAAAAACTTACTCAAGTAAATTGTTGATACAGTTTTCATTGCAATGAAGAAAACAAAAGGAAGAGCAAACCAATACCAAAAGAAACCAGGAATGATGCTTATGTAGTTGATTATGTTTTGCAGACTGTGTGAATAGAACCATTTGTTATAGGAATGTATGTTCAGTAAAGCTGAAAATAGAAAATAAGATCTTCAAGATATCAAGTATCAATGCATTTTTATCAAAATAGACAGCAAACAGTAAATAACACTAAAGATATAACTTTTTTAATGAGATGTTAGAGTACACTAATTTTTTTTATTATTATTAGCATGAAGCTTATATACATGACAAAACTCAGATGAGTCTAAAAATTAAGCATATCTTAAGCATAAAGCAAAGCCCATTTTTTAAGTTCATGTTATCTCTCTCAACTTACATAAAATAATTGAAACGTCTCTGATTAAGGTTTTATTTTAATGATAAAATAAACATTAAATAAGGTTCATATTTGAGAATTTGCTAAGCATGACCAGGCTCAGCTAAAATTACCTTGTGCGAAAAAAATGTGTAGAACAAATAAATGTAAAACAAATTTGCAAATTTTATGTTATTTTGATTAATATAAATTAAAACTTCAGATACAGATGGTAGTTGAAGAAGTGATTTAAACATTTTTGGCAATTCTACAAAAATGCACCTCTCCAAAAATTATCATTTTTTTACAAAATCTTTTTCATTCAATTAAGCTATGGAAAAATGAAGTTAAACTAATAAATAAAATAATAATAATAAAAAAAAGAAAATAAATTCCTTTTCCCATGATGCAAATTATAAAGAAACCAGAAAGGATTTCTGGCTGCAAGCACAATTTTATGAACCCAAAAAAGACAGAATTTTTCTCTTTTCCACTTTCTAATGGCAGCCCTAATCATGAAGTAAGTGAACTGCTCATTCCAACTCAGTGCAAAGCTGACTTGAGCTCTACCATTTTAACTATTGCTATCCTAACTTACTTCTGAATCAAAAAGGAAAACGAACATACCAAAGAGACATTGAGAATTTTGTTTCACTACGGTCACCATAAAAAAGAATAAACATTCATAGTACAAACTCAAGTTTTGTATGCTTCTATCTTAATTGATTACATATGAAAATGTGTCTTCACCTAAAATATGCACAAACACGCAACATTGTTAACCTCCAAAAAGCCCTCTAGCTCATGAATATAAAGAAAAAAAGTTTGTTTTTTTTCATTTTCTAAATTTTAAGAAGGGTATTCATTACGTAAATTCATTAGAAATTGATCCCCTGATGCAATCCCAAAAATAAAGATAAGTAAGGGAAATAATAATAATAATAATAATAACAATAATAAAGGGAAAAGATAAGTAAGAATCTGCATAAAATTCATATTTCATGGATGTTTCGAAATTATTTGAAATTTAACCTTTAGCACTCAGTAGGTGACTATTTTTACCAAGCAAGATGTTAGTTCTGCCAATGCAAGCTAAATTTGAATTTCTTGGTTGTGTAGTCATATTCTTCTATGGCAACACCTAAAACAATCTTGGATAAAATTGAGAGCCAGGCTATTGCAATTCCAAATATATAGAACTAATACATCAAACACTATATTTTGAGGGGATTCCATATACAGTAAAAGGTGAAGTAATATTTATAAATGATGCAGAGTGCTAAATGTTAAATATAAGCATTTTTTAACACAAAACAGGAACAAGGTAAGTAAGAATGTGCTTTAAATAATATAACTATTAACTTTCTTTTTTAATTTTAACTTGAAATTATTTAAATTTTTGTAAGGTAAGTAAGACTATGCTTTATCACATGATATAAGTATATTTCTTTGGCTTGTGTAGTGAGGATCAATTTACAAAGAATTTACATAGAAAACCCCACTCTTCAGACTTAGAAAAATCTTTTTAAATTGTTGATATTCATAATCTGGTGAGCTTATTTAACAGTAATATGAAAATAATTTTTAAAAGAAATTAATCTTTCTTGGAGATGTGTGCTTCTGCAGAAACACCTATATTTTTTCATGTTTTTCTAACTAGTTACATTTTTTGCCAGCAGATAAAATAATTTTCCTGTTAATGTTTTAAAAATATTTCTACATATCTAAAAGATAAAATGCAAAACTTAATACATAGACACAAAAGAAATTATAAAATTTGGTACCAAGATCAAATTATACAAGCATAATTTGATCATAAAAACATAAATTTAAACTATTTTAATTTTTAATCACATTGCTTACTTTAGTTTGATATAAATCAGAAGTTATTAAAATAGTTTCTATCTGTTTATTCTTATCACTTGACAAAATAAGAACTATTAAAAATTATGATATGATTAAATCAATAATTTCCCAGATTTTCTTTTAAAAAACATGTATAAATTGCAATCGCCAAACAGAGGTTCTGTACCACTTGACAAAGGTTTCACATTGCATTAACAAAGGATTATTTGTACACAACAGCAAACCAATGATGCTTCCCTGGCCTTCTCAAAGCATATGTCTTATATACTCATTGTAATAACCATAGTTCTACTATGATTGGTCAATAAGCAAGTGTTGCTATTATGCAGTTTAGTCTGTACCACAACTGCTATGTCAATTTGTCAATGCTACTATCTGTGCTAATCAACCACATTTCTCCAAACAGAATCATATTGAGAGACTGACTTAATTGCACCAGAGGCACACTACCTGGAGTCCCTTATCATTGTGGTCTGTTCTTCACCTATAGACAATTAATGATAGGCAGTTATTGACTTTAAAAAAAAAAAAATTATTGCAAAAAGCATAAGAAAATGCTATACTCTGCTTCAAATTAGGTCTTTTTCTGATTAACTCCACATCAAATCTGTCATCCGGATGTGAATGCTAAGAAAGCAAAATTAAAAAAAGTTGTTCTCTGCATAGAGGCTTTGAGTCGCATATTCAGTCCACAAAACAAATTTACCCACTTAACTATAAAATACAATTTAAAAGAAGCCAATCACAAACATTGCCACTAAAGCAAAAGCATGACAAAAATGCTGAGTCGTGTATCCACCCTGACTGCTTAAAAAGGATGCTGTTCACATTCCTGAAGGTCAGTTGAATGGTAGGCATGAAGACAGCCATAGAAACTACCAGCAGCCTTGGTCAATCGACATGACACAAGCTTTAACATCAGGCCCTACTAACTCTCCAGGTTTCTTTCCTCACCCACAGAGACATTTTGCATTGATCCTCTATATTGGCAATACAAAGAATTTTATTTTAACAATTCTTGTCTTCTTTTCTTTCTACCTCAATGGCAGTGCTTTGTTGTTTTGTTGTGGTTTATAACAAAAACAAACCTTTCTTTTATAAGTATTTATAAAGAAAAGATAATGCTTGGACTTAATCTGATAGGTTACTTTTGCATATTTCTAAATACAAGGATGTGTCTTCTCACCAGACTTATTCAACCTATACAGTAAGGTGATTCTGAAAAAATTAGAAGTCCTACCAGGATTCATTATTGGTGGTCACAGTGTTAACAACATAAGATATGTAAATGACACAGCAGATACAGAAAGGAAACTACAAAAACTCTTACAGAAAGTAGTGAAGGAAAGTGAGAAGAAAGGACTAAACATCAATTGCAAGAAGGCAGGATGCATGGTTGTTAGCAAAAGGAAAAGCCCAACTCTAAAATTACAAATTGGCGAGACCAAAATCAAACAAGTACGACAATTTAAATATCTGGGAAGTGTTTTAACAGAGCATGGAAAGTGTGACACTGAAATCCAAAGGTGCAATGGGATAGCAAAAGATGCCTTCCAAAAGCTACGCAAAGTATTAAAAAATAGGAAAATTTTGTTAGAAACAAAGAAAAGAGTACTAAATATCACTCCTCCTATATGGTAGTGAATACTGGACAATCTCCTCATAGATGAAGAAGAGACTTGAAGCAACAGGAATGTAGCCCTACAGAAAGATACTGAGAATGCAATATATCAAACATGTGAGCAACAACAAAGTTTTAGAGAAAATAGAAACAAAAAGGACATTTATACTTAACATCTAAAAGAGATAGTTGAAATTTCTTGGGTACATAATGAGGAAAGAGAGTTTGGAAAATTTTACACACAAGGGACAGATTGAAGACAAGAAGGACAGTGGAAAACAATGCATAACCTACCTAGCAAGCTTGAGGTAAACAGATGGCAGAAAAAAGTTTAGGAGCAATAACACAAAAACAAAATTTATTAAGAAAAAGAAATTGTGGAGAGCCATGACTGCCAAGATCCTGAAGGAACGCAGCACACAGAAAATATC